GAGAGATGGCTCATGTGGTGCGGAGTCAAAGATTGACAGAAGGAAGAGCAGCAGGTGGAGAAGGAGGCAGCTGAAGGCACTTAGGGGCCTGGTAGAAAGGCAGACGGCAGCAGGGCTCAGGTTGTTGGGGGTGCAGTGGACCCCAGGACAGTATGGGTCTGACTCAGACTCTGAGACCATCGCAGTCCTATGCAGAATGGCTTGAGGGGTGCTAGAGCCTATTATCTTATCCCTCCTTTCCAAATCAGCTCTTCTTTTGGCCAGGGCTTTAACTTGGCTTTAAACTCCACTTTCAGAACACTAAGATCATGGCATCTGGTCCCATCACTTCAAGGCAAATTAGCTGGGGAAACAATGGAAACAGTGACAGACTTTATTTTTTTGGGCTCCAAAATCACTGCAGATGGTCACTGCAGCCATGAAATTAAAAAGACACTTCCTCCTTGGAAGAAAAGCTATGACCAACCTAGACAGCATATTGAAAAGCGGAGACATTACTTTGCCAACAAAGGTCTGTATAGTCAAAACTAAGGTTTCTCCAGTAGTCGTGTATGGATTTGAGAGCTGGGCTATAAAGAAAGTTGAGTACCGAAGAATTAATGCTTTTGAACTGTGGTGTTGGAGAAGACTCTTGAGAGTCCCTTGGATTGCAAGGAGATCCAACCAGTCCATCCTAAAGGAAATCAGTCCTGAATATTCATTGGAGGGACTGATGCTGAAGCTGAAGCTCCAATACTTTGGCCATTCTTCTTGATGTGAAGAAGTGACCCACTAGAAAAGACCCTGATGCTGGGAAAGATTGAAGGCGGAGAAAGGGATGACAGAGGATGAGATGGTTGGATGGCATCACTGACTCGATGGACATGAGTTTGAGTAAGCTCCAGGAGTTGGTGATGGACAAGGATGGTGTGCTGCATCCATGGGGTCGCAAAGAGTCAGGCATGACTAAGTGACTGAACTGATTGGCCAGGGCAGGGTATCCTCAAGAGTGTTCCTTGGGAGTGCTGCTTCTGCTGGATGTATTGGATGTTTATATGTTCCCATTAAAACAAAGGACAAGGGGCCAGTTGGGGTAAAGGGGGGCTGAAAGTAAGTTGGAGGTACAATGAATTGAACAAAGTTAGAGATCTTTACTTTTGGACTTTGCAAAGCCATATATGCAAGGTGGTGCTAGCAGTGAAGAATCCATTTGCCAAGGCAGGAGACACAAGAGAAAGGGGTTTGATTCCTGGGTGGGGAAAAACCCTTGGAGAAGGAAATAACAATCCATTCCAGTATTCTTTTTTTGAAAATATTTTTATTTATTTTAACTGGAGGCTAATTACGTTGCAATGTTATAGTGGTTTTTGCCATACATTGACATGAATATTCTTGCCTGCAAAATCCCATGGTCAGAGAGGCCTGGCGGGCCCCTCACAGTCCATGGGGTTACAAAGAGTTGGACATGACAGCGTGCAGGCACACTCACTCACACACACACACACACACACACACACACACACACACACGGGTTGGCCAGAAAGTTTGTTTGGGTTTTTCCAAACTATCTTACATATATATATATATACACATATATATGTATATATATATGTATACATATATAAGAATTTTGAGTCTTTAAAATGGAATATGGTATTCAGTATCTCTCAAAATGATCTAAACACAGACTATTTTTTCCTTTGCTATATCTCATAGGACAAGCGTTTGTGAAATATGCTTGGGGAATGCTGGCTTGGATGCCTGAAATTTGCCCGTCAGCTAATTATTCAATTGAGTTAAGATAGTAAGATTCCAATCCTCCTTTTAAAATAAATATAAAGCTATTTCCAGAGGTCCTGCAGAGTGAAGTACTATCTGGTACACACACCACAGCACTGACAGAGCAAGCAACGGGCTGCTTGTTCAATGAGCATACGTAGGGAGTAGGGAGTAGGAGAACTGGAGGTGAGTGGGGGGCGTGCTCATGGTCTTTGAACAGTGAGTCTGAGGCTGTAGGAGGGCAACCGAGGTGCTGGGATGGATGGAAGGAAGGTGAGAAGTTGGAGGTGAAGTTACTGTATTGCTATGAAGAATGGATATTTTAAGATTCTGGGAGCAAGGGTTGCATGCATGTGCGAAGTAGCTGGGGAGAGTCAAAGGGTGCTCACGGCTGGAGGGAAATGAAACAGTGAGGGAGACAGGCTGACTTTGGGGCTACGATCTAAGTATTTAAAAGACATATGCCTCTGAAAATAAATGAATTGTCAGCTTCTGTTGAAAAAAAAAAGTGGGGTTGTTTAAAAGTTATTCCTAAAACACAGTGTGAGCTTTGTCAAGAATTTCAGCATGTCCAGAGTTTCTGAGTAATGTCTAAAAGAATGAGAAAAAAATGCATCTTCTTAGCCAAAAAATTTCTCCTTAAAATATCATTTTTAATCATAAAATAACATGTATTTATTGTAGAAAATTCAAAAAATATAAAAAATAAGACAAAAAGAAAGGTCATCCTTATCATCCATAACTTTTAAACTAGAACAATCCATTATTATAAAATACTGTAAATCTTTTACCATATTATCTTCCAGTTTCCCCTCCCCTCTTTAGGCTCCTTAGTTTTCAAATTGTGTAGTTCTGACTGATATTGAATATCGAACATAACATTTTCATGATGATATCATAGCTTAACTGAGTGCGTGCTTAGTCATGTCCAACTCTTTGTGACCCCATGGACTATAGCCCACCAAGCTCCCCTGTCCATGGGATTTTGCAGGCAAGAACACCAGCGTGGGTTGCTGTTTCCTTTTCCAGGGGATTGTCCCAACCCAGGGATTGAACCCACGGCTTCTGCATTGCAGGTGGACTCTTTACCGATGAGCCACCAGAGTCGGCAAATATGGCCTGCTACCTGTTTTTGTAAAAGCCCTGAACCAAGAATGGTTTTTACATTTTTAAACTGTTGAAAAGAATCAAAGAATAATATTTCCTGATATTTGAAAATTCTATGAATTCACATTTCAGTGTCCACTAGTAATGTTTATGGGGACACAAGCATGTCCACTTCTTTACTAGGCTGCTTTCCTGCCACGATGACAGAGAAGTAGTTGGGACAGACACAGCATGGCCTGCAAAATTCAAAACATATATTCTTGGGAAAATTCCCGAAAAATCTTTGCTGACTTCTGGTTTAATCAGTCTACAATTTGTGAGCTTCTGTTTGTTTCTTTGTTATTATTTTGCTTATTATAATTAATGCTTCAACTGATATCTTTTGATGGAAATCTTTGCCTGATTTTTTGGGTATTCTATTGGGTATTTGCCTAAAAATATGATTACTCTGTCAATATGAGGTATGAATATTTTAGGGCTCCTGATGTATGCATACCAATTTCTTTCCAGAAAGTTCAAACTAAGTTTCACTCCCACTGGAAGCATACAGGGGCTGCATAGATTTTGCTCTTGGAAAGATAATCTTTGTACTATCCTGTCTTAAGCTATCAGTTTGATAATGAAGCAGTATTAGTCAAGTCCAGCCTTGCTAGTTATGAGGATTTTCTGGGGGGTAAGTTTCACTTCCTTCATCATTTTCCCTTGTCCTTTCAATGCAGCCCTGACTGCTAACACTTCTGTCCTGAGACTTCAAACAACCTGCCTGCTCCTCAGTCACTGCAAGTAGGAATGTCTAATGGAGAAGGAGAAATAAAAGATTCATCAGGGTCTGCATCTGATTCTGTGCAAATCTGAGGTTAGGGCTCCTTTGCTGGTCTACATGAATATACCTGTATTTTGCATGACTGATTTTATACTCAGCCTTACAAATTCCACCTGAATCTGCCCACACCCTCCTGTTCTACTGGTGAATATTCTCATGTCCTGAAGAGGGAAGTGTTGTTAGTATCGCTCCCACGGGGGCCTAAAAAGGATAGAACGGTGCACATGCCCAGGGCCTAGTGACTCTCACTGTTAATGGTATTTGGTTGGAGAATGGATCTTTAAGCTTCAAAATGTTAAGTTTAGATTTTACCTGTCCTTAATGTGAAACTGATTTAGGCTCTAGAGAATCAGTTTTTTAAAATGTATTTTTATTGAAATATAGTTGATTTACAATGTTTCAGGAATAGAGTGGATTGATTCATATATATATATATGTTATATAAATAGAATAATATATATTTATTCTTTTTCAGATTCTTTTCTGTTATAGATTATTACAAGATATTGAATATAGTTCCTTGTGCTATACAATAGGACCTTGTTGCTTATCTATTTTGTATACAATAATGTATATCTGTTAATCCCAAATTCATAATTTATTCCCCCCACCTTTCCCCTTTGGTAACCATAGTTTAGGGCCCAGGTTCCAGCCTGTCTTCGCGGGACTGGGACTAAAAAGTATTATGAGACCATTGAATTAATTAACTTTAATCATTTTACTTTATTATTTTTTATAGCACATCATCATATACCACATTACCTCATACCTCATGTGTACCACATAATATAATACATATACTACAAATTGTTTAAAACATTTTTTATATTGGAGTATAGTTGATTTATAGTGCAATGCTAGTTACAGGTGTACGGCAGAGTGACTCAGTTATACATATACATACATCTGTTCTTTATAAAAAACTCTTTTCCCATTTGGGTTATTACAGAACATTGGGCAGAGTTCCCTGTGCTGTATAGCAGGTCCTTGTTGGTTATCTGTTTTAAACATAGCCGTGTGCACATGTCCATCCCAACCTCCCAGTTTATCCATCCTCACCACATTTCCCCTTTGGTAACCATAAGTTTATTTTCTAAGTCTGTGAGTCTGTTTCTGTTTTGTAAATAAGTTCAGTTGTATCATTTTTTTTTTTTTTAGATTCCGCATGTAAGGATATCATTAATCATTTTAGCCTGGCCTTAGGCGGGTTGCCATCTAGAGACCCTCATTCCTTTATTCAGCAACTATTTAATGGAGTAGTCTCTACTGAAAATATTCTTGAGCTCTTAAATTTTCCTTTTCAAAAAATCAGAAAAAAATCCTAGGGAGACCGCAGAATTACCACCTCCCATGCGTCCTCACATAGGTTCCATCGGTGACCGGATGGGGCCCCGGTGAGGCTCCCCCAGCTGAGCCCCGCAGGTCTCCCAGGCTCCTCACGCTGCGGGGCTGCAGGCAGCCTGTGGGGCTGGGCCTTCTGTGAGGCTCGCTGTGAGCAGGTGCACTGTGGCTTTCTCAAACTCAGGCGCCAGCAGGTGCTCAAACCCGAGCTTTCAGGAGGGCTGAGGGGGAAGCCACGTCTCTCCCGTGCACAGGTTCTAGCAGACGACTGGCTGTCCCAGCAGAGCTCCTCTGAGTCACTTGGCGTCTCGGAAGCCGTGTGCAGCCTGCCAAGTCTCCACCCCGCCCTCGCCACCCCAGGAGGCCTCCCAAGTATGCTTTTAGCCAGGGAGAGACCTTGGCAGAGTGTGAGGGACAGATTTCTCCCTCTGTTCCTTACAACAGGATGTCATGCAGGCAGGCGGCCTAATTTATCATGGCAAGTTCTAATAAAGAAGGCACATACATCTTCAAGAAAAAAATCAGCTTCCCAGGGCTCTGGGGCAAAATCCACAAAAGTACACACACACTCTCCCTTTGAAGGACAATGATGAATCTAGAAAGTTAGGAAAGAAAGATTTTATACCAAACTCTGAAATGAAAGTGATGAAGACAGTTTGTTAAATTAGCTATGATTTACAGAACATGGGAAGTAAGGAAAAAAAATGCAGTTTCTAAGGTAGGATTGTAATGCTGATGTGACAGTCCCCACAGAGGACACAGAAGTTCAAACTCTTTAGATCTGGAGAGACAGAGACATAATTTCATCCATTATCCTAATTTTTCATATGTCATATGATGAAATATCTCTTAAATATGGTCTAAGTGACCTTTATAAAAAAAACATTTGGAATTAAACAGAATTAAAATTTCAGAGGCTGAGTGCTGAGTCATTTACCTGGAGAAAAAAATGCAAGTTGGATAATAAATGTCAGATGATGACAGAAAATAAGTCAAGGGATTATGAGCATGAATTGTGAAGCTGAATAGTATAGGACTGATTTTTTTTTTTTGGAAAGTAAGCAGCATACTGTGGGGTGTTCTCTGCAAGTCATCACTGACAATTTTCTGGATGAATTATGATTCAGGGACATATGCAGCACTTGAAGAAATCTCAGAAGGTACTAAGAAAATGACTACAGAAATGAAAATACAGCATTTAAGAAAACTTAAGGAACTGGGACTTTTAGAGTTTTCAAAAAATATATTAAATAACTTCAATATCTTTAAATATTTCCCATTCTCTCTCTCTCTTCTCTCTCTCCCATTTTCTTTCTCTTTTTTCTCTCCATCCCTCTCTCTCTCACACACACACCCATTGGAGCTTGAAACAATTTTTTTCTCACATATTGATATATTAACTTCAAAGTTAATGGAAATTGAGCTGTTCATTACCTATCCTAGCCTGTTACTAACCATTCCTATTAAGAATTCAGGCTAAATGTTCATTCATGGATGAATGGATAAAAATGTGATACATATATACAATGGAATACTACTCAGCCATAGAAAAGGATTAAGTAAAGCCTTTTGCAACTACATGGGTGGACCTGGCAATTATCATACTGAAAATGTCAGAAAGAGAGAGACAAATATCATATGATATCACTCATGTGGGGAGTCTATAAAAGATACAAATGATCTTATTCACAAAACAGAAACAAACTCACAGACTTAGAAAACAAACCTGTGGCTACCAAAGGGGAAAGAGGGAGGGTGAAGTAGGAGCTTGGGGCTAAGAGAACAGTTGTATACCACTGTGTTTAATGTGTATACAACCAACAAAGAACCAGTGAGCACAGAGAACTCTGCTCAATATTCTATAACAACCTAAACGGAAACGAATTTGAAAAACCTAAGTATACGTATTCAGATAACTGAAGCATGTTGCTGTACAACTGAAACTAACATAACATCATTAACCAAATATCCTCCAATAGGAAATAAAAATTAAACATAAATAAATAGATTCATTGAATTAAAAAAAGAAAGAATTTGGGGCCCTGTAAAATCCTAACGGATAAGACTCCAATTTTTAACCGTAACTCAAAGGAAAAAACCAGTAAATATGTTTTCACTTCAGATACATTTAAATCATAGAAGGATGAACCAACAAAGCATTTATCTTCCTCCTACTTTTGAAGATGTCTGCATATAAATGACTCCAACACAGAGGCCAGTCACGTCTCCACTTCCCTCTCCACTTGGATAACCAAAATGAAGCATCTTTTGAAGAATTTCTGTGGGAAGAGGCCTCACAAGAAATCATGGGTTAGAAATAGTCTAGTTTCTCATTTCTATGTTATGGTTTAAATCTGAGGAAAGTTGAATTTGCCTTTCAGCCCTAAGATAAAAATATAAGAAATGTGACCCAAACTGTGGGGAACGTAAATTCCTTCAGTGTTCTTTTGTCCAGGAAAACTTGGGACTCTGAAATTAAGGAAGAAAGAAGCTTTAAAATGGAGGAATTATCTCCAAACTCTTTTGGAGTATACTTGTATGCACTTTTGTATATACTTGTAATTTTTCTTTCTGCATCTTTATTTGCCAGTGTGGGGGTCTCACAGTTGGATCTAAGAACAAGCCTTCAGAAATAAGACTTGCAGATAGCCTGGCCAAATTAGAATGTAAGTCAAATTTCCTTGGGCTTTTGGACTTTTAACTGATGTTATAAAAATATCCATGATAGGTGCTAAGCTGTGATGTTCAGCACTAATAGTTAGCAGTGAAAGTTAGATATTTAAGCAGGACTTAAGGCACAAGAGGGTTTTATATTGACATTCTGTTTTCCTAAGTGTCTTTCACCTTCAGAATTGCTTTGGGTGTTCAACTCAGGGCTCTTCTGGTTGACAGCAACAGAAACCCAAGCCAAAGGAGCTTAATGAAAGCAAAAAGAGTTTATTAGCTCACAGAAGGGAAAATCCTGAGAGTAAGCCTACTTGCAGGACCCTTGGTCTTATTGCATTAGGTCCATTCCTTCATGCAGTGAATATTGGTATATTCTTCCATAGGAATGAGCTGGTGAGAAGTACAGACATGGCCCTTACACTCCACGACACTGCCTCTTAGGTGTAGGTTTGTGGCTCAGCGGGTGTAGATGGATGAAAGATGCTTTAGTTGTTGACACTTAAAATGCAATAATACATTAAATATATAATGGTTTATTCTTCTGGACCTCAAGCAGAAGTGAGTCCTGAAAAGTCAAGGCAGAAGGCAGAAGCCATTTCTAAGATGGCAATATTTCAAGTACAGGCAGTCTCTTTGTAACATAACTCCTAAATCTACAGCCTGGGTTGGTATGAAGCTGAGGTGAGACAAAGGTAAGACTCTGTTTCCTGTTTCCTAATTTTGGGGTCTATGACTTAGATCTCTGTCACTGAGGAGGAAGAGGCCACATTGTGGATTTGGATACAATAATGTTCTCAAACAAAAATCAGGAAATTTTACTTGACAAACATAGAATTTTCTAATTTTTAAATTTAAATGCTTATATCCCTGTCTTACTAAAGAAAACAATTAATAAATATTAAATAAATATATTAAATTATCAAATAAAATGAAATAATAAGATATTTACTGGAGGATATGATAACTAAATGATATTAAACTAAAATTGAGAGACTTGCCTGGTCGTCCAGTGGTTAAGAATCTGCCTTACAATACAGGGGACCTGGGTTCGATCCCTGGTCAGGGAACTAAGATTCCCACATGCCACGGGGCAGCTAAGCCTGTATGTTCTAGAGGCCACATGCCACAACTAGAGCGAAGCTCATGCACCACAACTAGAGAAACCCCTCAGCCACAACAGAAGCTCTCAAGTGCCTCAACCAAGACCTAACACAGCCAAATAAATATTAAAACAGAAATAAAATGAAATTCATATTTTTAAAAAATTGGGAAACTTTACTTGGCACACATATTCTATTTTTAAAATTTCAATATTTCTATGCCAGTCTGAAAGAAAATATTCAGTTCAGTTAAGTCGCTCGGTTGTGTCCAGCTCTTTGTGACCTCATGGATTGCAGCACGCCAGGCCTCCCTGTCCATCACCAACTCCCAGAGCTTGCTCAAACTCATGTCCATTGAGTCGATGATGCCATTCAACTATCTCATCCTCCTCTGTCGTCCCCTTCTCCTCCCGCCTTCAGTCTTTCCCAGCAACAGGGTCTTTTCAAATGAGTCAGTTCTTCGCATCAGGTGGCCAAAGTATTGGAGTTTCAGCTTCAGCATTAGTTTTTCCAATGAATATATAGGATTGATTTCCTTTAGGATTGACTAGTTGGATCTCCTTGCAGTCCAAGGGACTCTCAAGAACCTTCTCCAAAACCACAGTTCAAAAGCATCAATTCTTCAGCGCTCAGCTTTCTTTATAGCCCAACTCTCACATCCATACATGACTACTGAAAAACCATAGTTTTGTCAGCAGACCTCTGTCAGCAAAGTAATGTCTCTGCTTTTTAATATGCTGTCTAGATTGGTCATAACTTTTCTTCCAAGGAGTAAGCATCTTTTAATTTCATGGCTGCAGTGATCATCTGCAGTGATTTTGGAGCCCCCCAAAATAAAGTCTGTCACTGTTTCCATTGTTTCCCCATCTATTTGCCATGAAGTGATGGGACTGGATCCAATGATCTTAGTTTTCTGAATATTGAGTTGTAAGTATTAAATAAATGTGCTAAATTATTAAATAAATAAAAATGAAATAATTCATAAATAAGATCTTTACTGAGTGATAACTAAATTATATTAATCAGATATTAAAATATATTTATTAAAGTAAATAGCTCAGAAAGTTCACACTCTGCTAGAATAGCTGGGTTTACAGTAGTTGTGTTAGCTTTCTATTGCTGTGTTACAAATTGCTACAAATTTAGCAGCTTAAACTAACACAAATGGAGTATATCACAGTTTCTGTAGGTTGAAGTTGGGCACCGAGGGTCTGGGGAAGCAGAAGTTTCCTGTGATCTGTGATAAGGGATGAGGAGGTGGGGAGGAAGTGGCAAGCCCAGAGGGTGGAGAGTGTCTTGGAGATGGTTCAGGAGCTCAGAGCTGATGTTAAGTGCAGTTGGATCCATGTCAGCATTTCAACGGGGAGAAGGTCAGAGGCACTTCAGAGAGGAGACAGTGGCAAGGTCTGACCTTGACCCATTAGATGGGTGGTGGTGACTTTGGGAAAGACAGGGGAGCAGAAAGGGGGAGCACGTTGTCTTGGAGGGAAAGAAAGATAATAGATGCAAGTGTGACCACATTTCATTCCAACTGCCTGTCATTCATGCAAGGGAAGACGTCCAGTGGACAGTTGGGATACTGGCTGAAAGTTAGAGAAAGAGACTTGGGTCGATAAGGGCATGATGAGAAACTATTCCAAGGATATGGTAGGGGCCAACTAGGTGAAAATCTAATGAGAGAATACAAGGAAAAAGAAAGAAGTGATGTGGAGTCTTTGCAATAGTTCTTAACAAAAAATATGTACTTGGATATCTTCAGAGGAACTTCTGCAAGCTGTGGATCTGTAGACCCCATCACCAGCATCCTGAATCAGAGCCTGGTTAAGCACCCCTGGTCCACTGAGTACAGTAGACCCTCTGTATCAATGCTCTCTGCATCCTTGGATTCAACCAACAGCAGAGAGGATTTTTTTTTTTTTAATCCAGAAAGCTTCAAAAAGCAAAACCTGAATTTGCTGTGTGTTTGCAACTATTTTCTTGGTGTGCATGCCTGCTAAGTTGCTTCAGTCGTGTCTGACTCTTTGGGACCGAATGGACTGTAGCCCGCCAGGTTCCTCTGGATGGGGTTCTCCAGGCAAGAATACTGGAGTGGGTTGCCATGGTCTCCTCCAGGAGATCTTCCCAGGCAGGGGTTGAACACACATCTCTTATGTCTCCTGCATTGGTGGGCTGGTTCTTTATCACTAGCACCACCTGAGAAGCCCCATTTACTTAGCATTTATAATTTATAATACATTTACTTAGCATTTACATTGTATTATGTATTATAAGTTATAAATGAGTTAAAATATATGGCAGGATGTGCATATTTATATGCAAATAATGCGCCATTATATAGGGCACTTGAGAATCCGTGGATTTTGGTATTTGCTGGGGTGCTGGAATGAATGCCCTGGAGATACCCAGGGACAAGGGTGTAAGAGATTGTTTGCAGATTTGGCTGGGGCATTTCAGGAAGAGCATAATTATGTAGTGAGTTGGGATAGAAGAGCCTAGAGAAAGTTCAAACAGGCTATTCTAGAGGAACAGTTTAAGACAGGAGGAGATGGACCCATCCATAGGGTGTTTTGTGAGCTGACAGAACGTGGTGGGACACAGATCAACAACTGAAGGAGGGAATGTGGGAAATGATGATCATCCCAAGACCCCAAGACTTTCCTATCTGACCTGAATTCTGTAGGACTCACTTACTGAATGAGAGCATTTCCTCCTGGGGAGAAATTAATTTGTACATTCATTCAGCCCAGATTCACTGAGCACTTACTATATTTCAGATAGTATATTTCAGATATTTCAGGTATATAAAGCTGGGAGCAAGAGGACAGGAGCCCTCCCTGTCTCCTAGTGCTCACCTTGAGACGAATGCAAGACACCTGAGCATCTAACACCTAGAACTTCATATTAGCGATCTGTTGAAAATAAAGTGGGGTCAGGTGGTTCTGTCTGGAGGGGGTACGCAGGAAGGACTCTCTGGAAGGGACCTTTGAGACCTCAATGGCGGCACCTGTGATAACGTTTGGAACAGAGCTTTGGAGGCAAAAGAAGAATCGAGTGTGACTAGAACCACTGGTGTGGATTTGTTTGCTGTTCGAACGCTCAGTCGTGTCTGCCTCTCTGCGACCTCATGGGCGGCAGCACACCAGGCTTCCTGTCCTTCACCATCTCCCCCGGAGCCTGCTCCAACTCATGTCCATCGAGCCCATGATGCCGTCCAACCACCTCGTCCTCTCTCGGCCCTTCTCCAGTCTTTCCCAGCATCAGGCTCTCTGCTAACGAGTTGGCTCTTTGCCTCAGGCGGTGTGCGTAAGGAAGGGCACAAAGGTCTTGGGCGGAGGGGGCGGGATGAGAAGTCAGAAGAGTGACGGGTCAGCCAGGGCCCGAGCGCTTGCAGGTCTGGGCGCGGGTGATGGTTAGAGAACTTTCTGGCTGCCGCGTGAGGGACGGACTAAAGGGGGCAGAGCGCAGACCGTCCATTTCTCAGGCACCTTGTTCCGGACTCTCCCTGCCGCTAAGTCCTCCAAGGTAACTGCCTACTTATTTGAACGCGAACTTCCCTCAGGTGTTCCTGCAGCTCAGGTCAAAGGCAGGTCCACCGGTCAGCGCCGGACCAGGTGGACCACGTGTCTGATCCCGGCGCCCGGCGGCGGGCCTGGGGCTCCCTGACTCCGCGCCCGGGATGCGCTCGGGTCGCGCCTCGCTTTGCCCTGCCGCCTTCCAACTCCGAGCGGCCTTGCCCTGACCTGCTTCCCGGGAATGGCGGGCCCGCCTCTCCCCAGTCCCAGAGGGACGTGAGCTCCTCTGGCTTCTAGCGGGGTGCCCCGGCGGCTCGCATTGGGGATTCGGATCCAAAACCCACCCTCTGGCCGCGGTTCGCGGAAAGGGGGCGGGTGGGGGCGCGAACCTTATCTCGGGCTCCGCCTCCGGGACCGGGAGCGTCCCGCGCGCTCCGCACCGGCCGCCCGGGGCAGACGGGCTCCGGGCTCCGGGAGGGGAGGGCGGCCGACCCGCTCCGGCCCAGGTGTGGCAGGGCCGCGGCCGGTCACTTCCAGAACCCCCGGGCCCCCGCGGGGCGCGCCACTGCCGCGACAGCGCCCCTGAGCAGGGACGCGCGCCAGGTAAGGCGGCCCCTTCTCCTCCCCTGTCCCTGCGGTGACGGCAAACCGGGGACCTCCGGCGGGAGCTCCCGCGTCTGCAGGATGCAGCGGGCCGTCTGGAGGGTGCAGTTTCTTCCCGCGCGTGTGGAGGCAGCGGGTGAACCGGGAGGCAAGTCGGGACCCAGGATGGAGGCAGGGACCCGGGATCTGTCCCGCAAAGTTCCTGGGCGGTCGCATGATCTCCGGAGCCTCTGATTTCTGCTCGGAGCATTCTGGCCTCGGAAAATGGATAGTGCGCGGTGATTTACTCCCCTAAGCTCATCTCTCTGGGCCGCGGTCTTTCTCGAAGGGGCTCTGGTGTCCGCACGTGCGGCGCCGGGAGCGTGATGCAGAGCGCGGGGTGGCGGGCTGTGCGCGATGCCCCGGACGTTCTCTGAGACTGCGGCCCCGGAGGCTCACTCAGGGGAACGTGAAAAATCCGGGGCCGGGGCAGCACCCAGTCAATTGTATCGGAATCTGTGGGAGTGGGCTGCACACTTCCCAGGTGACTGCCAGGTGGGGTGGCTTTGGGACCAGTGGGTGAGAGCCTGCTTCTCCAAGGAAGGGGTGTCTCTGGGCAGCGGAGGCAGCCTCCCTTGGGAACTTTCAGAAATGCAGACTCGGGGGCCCAGCTCGGGAGGCGCAGACTCTCCGAATCTGCAACTGCCGGGGAGGGACCAGCCCTCTGTGTGTTCCTGGACCCTGCAGGTCATGCTCGCGCTGGCTCACTGTGGAGGACTCTGGGTCGGGTTTCAGCGGAGGGAAGGGCAGACGCCTTTGGATTTCCTTCCATAGAAGGGAGGAAACAGACCCCTTTCCCGAAAATCTTACATATTGATCAGTAGGGTTCTTCCCATATTAAAAAAAAAAATGCCGTGGACTTTGGAGGATTCTTAAAAGGGCGGAGACTTAGCCATCACCTGGAGCCAGTTTTCCTGTAGTAAACATTTTCTATTTTTAAGAGTTGAAAGGAAGCCAAAGAAGACATGTACCTAAAACTCTCCTGGCTGCAATAACACCAACGTTTGGCCCCTGATGGGGCTGCTCCCTATCATCCCTGTCATCAGTACATGTTACAGGACTCATATGAGGTATGAGCAGCTCGAGGTTTCAGGGATTCATGCCAGTTCTCCAGAGTACAAGGAAATTCAGCCTTGCAGGTCTCTGAATTCTCTGAGTGGCTTTTTTTTTTTTTTAAATAGTGATCTGAGATTTCAAAATTTTGGTGAAAAAAAAAGTTCCAGCTGTTCCTAAGTCATTAGTACAGAAATAGAATGACTTTGCAAATAGGCTTAAATGGATCTGAAAATCTAATTTTGGAAAAAAAGCTAGAAGAGGCCTGACCGTGGTCCTAGCGCATGTGTGCTGGGGTGAACATTGCTCCCTGTATGTGGGACTTTCTGCGTGGAGAACAGGTGCTTTCCAAGCTGCTATTTTCAGAGCCAATTTGTGATGAGGTATAGAGACAGGTTCTAAGCTTGTGTTTAGAGAACTGGGGGAAATACAGGTTGTGGTGAGGACTAGGAGCCTGATCTGAGGCCTAAGCCGCAGGTTCAAGATCTGCTCTTCTGATTCTCTGAGCTCTGGGGCAGGGGTATAACTCTGTGAGCCTCACCTTCCCCATCTGCAAAATGGGTACTGCCACAGTTCTCATGTTGTCAGAGTTAAAGGAAATAATGCTTCCAGCAAAGTCAGTGAAATATATGCTAGCCCAAAATGTGCACACACATAGACACACACCCCAACTAAAAAGAAAGTAAAGACCTAATCCCTAAACTCTTGGAATGAAAACTATGTTGAGAACATGGTCACATTTTAAATTTACATGTATTTATGTGTCAACCTCACCCTTAGAATTTACAGTTTTTCCTTCTTACTAAAATCTGAATATATGGACATCCTCTAATTATCTTCCTAATTTTACTCTGTTTTATATAGAACTTTCTAGAAAAATATTTTTTCTAGTAGATTATCTTCAAGTCAACAGCCTAGTTTTTAATCTACTCACTGTGTATGGTAAAGGATTTTACCATTTGCTGGAATTTATAATCTAATCACATTCAAATTTAAATAGCCTTAAATCTGGCTCTCCAGAATATCATTCCTTATAAAAGACAGTTCAAATGATAGGCCTGGCATGCTGTGGCTTCCAAGAACATCAGTTTAGAAGTCCTACCTGGCATTTCCTAGGTTCTTGAGAGAGAAAAATGAAACCGTATCCAGTTACATCAAGGTTTGTTCAAGACAATGTAAGAGAAAGCAGGTTGAGGACACAGCAAGGACAAGCCTAAACTGGCAGAAAGGGTAGGTGAGGTCCTTTTCTTTCTTAGCTGCAATAATTTCACAATGCTTCAGAACCACATACAGAAGAAGCAACTTCTTTTACAATATTTGATTGGAACTGATCTGGGTGATCCTCTTAGAACCAAAGAGTTCTAGTAAAAAAAAAAATATGGGTATTAATTCCAAAAAAATATACCATTTGATTCTGTACTTTGAAATGCGTCTCAATTCACCTTTAATTTTAGTGATAAATTGACTGTTAGATTTACATCTTAGGTTGCAATTTTAGGACTCATCTTCCATCTTTAAATGTCGGAGATTGTACCCTTTCTGTTACGAATCTTCTGTGACTTCTAGAAGACTAAGCATAATACAAGTTTCAGCACATAAACATCTTAGTTACTCCATTCAGGAAATCAGGTCTTCATTAGGATACTTTGGAATTTACAGTGTAATGTTATTAACTTGAATATGATTAGAATTTAATGTTATTAAATTAAATGTAATTGCAACTTAATGTAAGTAGGGTTTTCTTTTTGGCTTACTATGTATGAGATGAGGAGTGGCTCTGGGCATGAAAAGTGAAGATCAGAGGCACTTCTCTTGATGGGGAAAATGAAGGCATGTGGAAGCAAATTTTAAAAGCTCAGTAATCAAATTATGTATCCTGGATAATTTAACTCAAGAGCTGAGCATCTGTGATGTTGCAAGTCAGTGACAAGATGAGGCAGCCCAGTGAGTGGCCAATTCAGAAAGAAGCTAATGCCCCACAGTGATTTCATGATTCTCCGCTTGCAGGCACAAGGGCCGGAGCAGAGATAATCATAAAGAAGTGAGCTTAATTGCCTTTATTTTTCATAACTTGGCTCACTTAGAAAGGTTCTGATGGTCTTCATTTCAGTTCATTTATTTTGATGGTCCACTTTGTTCCAAAGTTGATGGTTTTACCATTAAGGCCAACCTGGAAAGTCATGTGAGCAAAACACATCACAGGAAAGGCATATATGTTTTTATTTTGTATTTATTATTTTTGGATTGTATTTCTCAGCATGCAGTAGTAATTCTTTAGTTTGTTTCATTAGCATTCTTGTGGGAAACAAGTTGAAATATTTATTTCTGGCAAGTGATCCAGTCTCACGAAAAGAGAATTGGCTCTGGAGGCTGAGATCGCAAACCTTCTCCATCTCACAGTCAAGAACACACACTCTTCGGCCACGACACCAAGCCTTGAGTCCTGACTGTCACTTACTAGTTGTTTGAACTTGGACCAGTTGTGTAAATTTTCTTTGTTTCCATTTCCTCCTTAGTAAAATTGGGGTGAATCCATACTAAGTCGCTTCAGCTGTGTCTGACTCTTTGTACCTCATGGACTGTAGCCCGCCAGGCTCTTCTGTCCATGGGATTTCCCAGGCAAGAGTACTGGAGGGGGCTGCCATTTCCTCCTCCAGAGGATCTTCCTGATCTAGGGATCAAACCTGTGTCTCTTAAGTCTCCTGCACTGGCACCACCTGGGAAGCCCTAAAATTGGGGAATAGTACCTACATAAGGGGGGTTATCATGAGGAGTAAATGAATCAACGAACATAAAGTTCTACTAACGGTAAATGCTTAATAAGTATTTCCTATCACTTCACCTTGGATGTTAATGGTTTAAGCTGAACTATCTTTTTCCCTTTTCACCTCTGAAAGTTAGATCCTGAAAAGGCAGTGCTAATTCAAGTTATGTTCATTTGATGCTTTTTCTATTTTAGCTAGTAAGAGAATTTGTTTCTGAATAAGTGAAGTCCTTCAACTTTCTTGGAAAATGATACAAACTTTTGAACAACTTTCTGAAAGTTCCCAGATGCTGCTACTGTGGGCCTGAGATCACACTCAGAGAATGACTGCTTCACCCACTAGTTCCCAAACTGGACTAAACATTGGAATCACCTGAGATCAGAGCTGTAGCATGTTGATGCCCAGACTGATTAAAAAGTTAATCAGTTGGGTTAATTTATTGTGAATGTAGTTGTCATGTGCTTTGAAAAAAAAAAATTTTAGATTTTTAGGTTTGATATGGTTGTGTCATAATCATCTCATAATTGAAAATTTTAATTTTTGGCAATAAAAGGAAATTGGGTATCTTTGGAACTGTAAAATCTGGTTTAATCCTTCTCTTTCTAGAATCTTGATAGATTGGATAATTAAACAGTATCCAGATAAACTAAAGAAATGGGCATTTTAACTGCTTATTTTATCTTGAGTTACTTTTTAATGAACACTGCTCATTACAATTTTACAAACCAAAAGTGTTTACTAATTCTAGTAACTACAGTTTCTTTTTCAGCTAGATGAGTGATCGGAAACCTTTTGTTGCATTTCAAAATCTAAATAAACTACAGACTTTATCCTTAAAAAAAAAAAAAAGAAAAAGAGAGGCTGTGTAACATTACACCTTACCTGTCTATATGGAATTCCCATGCACTCATAGCATTTTTAGGGATATTATAATTTGTCCAATCAAAATGGGGAAACAGTCTTGGAGACCTCATTCTTGCCTGAAAGCTCGGAAACAGTCAGTGGTGGCACCAGATAACATCAGGCTTCCTGTATTCTGCTCAGTACATTTTTCACTAAACCGCCTTGTCTTCTGAAAAATCAGATAATGTGGTAAAAGCACATAATCCAAGATAGAGTGCCCTGGGAATCCTATGGACCTGCCTGTCTCCCTTGACCCAGTTTGATTTTTGATTTCAGGGTTGTTTATTAAAAAACTTTTCTAAATGAAAATCCACTGACACCACCATACTTCAGTGTAAGAAAATAAACCTATAGATATGATCCCTTGTGAAAAGGATGAATTTTTTTCTAGCTAGGTTAAGGATCCAGTTGAGTTTTCCCTCTTTGATGTTACTTTAGCAGTTTGGCTTTTACTAA